AAAACGCTGCCAGTTGGATAGAAGCAAAGTGCAGAAGCTAATCAGACAAACCGGTCTTTATTCGTGCAGGTGAAAGCGGGCAGCGCTCTGTTTTTCTGCCGTTCGACTTTTGGGCTCCTGGAGGATAAAAGGAGATGCTTCTGAACTTACTGCCCCAAAACACCGCGGGCACAAGCTATGGTGAAATGTTCTGTTAGCTGACAGCTTAGGGTGGGAGAAAAAAAAAAAAAAGTTGTAAGGAGGAAAAAGAGGATGGGAGGAGGATGAGCAACAGGCATCTGTTTCCAGGGCAACCACCACCTCGCCCACGGCTACAAACTTCCCGCTCTGTTGAAGCAAAGGGGCGATGGGTGGGGGGGTTTAGCGCGAACCGCGGAGGGAGAGAGATGCCCAACAAATAAACTCATGCTCATTTTACCCTTTTGTCTTGTTGGGTTAGATTTGCTCTGTGTAGCTCTTTTTTTCCCCTTCCTTTCTTTGTTGGAAACTCTTCCTCATTGACTGTGACAGTGCAGCTCCCCTAATGGATTCTGCGTGGCTCTCTGCTGCCCCCTGCAGCCTGGCTCTGGTTCAGAAGGCTGCCACCTTCTCCTGGGATCTCTACACCTCGGCAGGCGTTGTGGTGTCTTTAACTTTGCCTGTCTTCTCTTTTACTGATAGATTTTTACCCCACCGTGTCAGAAAGTTAACCAAAAGGATCTAAGCTGTATTTAGTTTGAAAATCTGTATCATTGAAAGGTTTTTAGATACTAAAAAGCTTAATGTTTTTTTGATAAAGCATCCATTGCTTCAGTTTTCAGTCCTTCTGCACCATAAACCCCTATTTAGATTGTCTTCTTCCATTATGATTGGCCTGCTGAAAACAGTGCTCCTCTATCATTTCCTTTTTTTTTCGTCAGCTGTCACGTTCGTAATGTATTCATATTCCCTTTTTCCCCGCTGCAGTTTAGCTGACATGTTCGATTCACACAAACAAATAGAGTAAATTGCCAAATATGCACTTATTTTTCTGGCAGCAGCTGATTTATTCCCTCCCTTAGCTTAAAACGTTTCAACTCCAGTTTATTTTTTCCACACTGACACTAAGCAGAGTTTCGCCTGCATGCTGGAACACTCGTGCTGCTAAAACCTCATGTTTTTGGTTAATTGAATCGCTAATAGAGAGACTCTCAACCTCGTATTTTGAGTGTCAAGCCGCCACATTCAAACATATGCAAGCATCCAGTTTTTGCCAGGAGGTAAATATTCTCATTAAGACAAGAGGCGGGAGATTTTATTTGTGCCAGGACTCTTAATTGCTATGATATATGCAGGACAGATGTGATGAATTAACTCTACTGGACACTTTGAGCAATATAAAGTTGATTTATTCTGTCTAAGTAAGCAGCATATGCCTTTAAATGTTAAAATCTTCCTTCTTTTGAACATATTTAGGGTGTAAATTGACTAAACATTAGTTAGAGATGTTTGCTGCTGTGCTTAAGGGGAGTTTGAAGGAGGGTAACTGCACCCCTGCTCCCTTAAAATTAGACGTCCCTCGTTTGTCACCCTAAGGTCGATACTCACTTAGGTTCTGCCTTCCTCCTCCTCTTTTTCTCGGCCTCGGTCCTTCGCCTTAGTGTGCGAGCGAGCACTTCAGCCTATTTCATCTCCTCTAACGGTTGTTTATTATAAAAGCCTTTGGCTCCCTGTTCTCTCTGCCTTGACCCGCATTTCCCCCTCCTGTCCCTTCTTTCCTTCCCCGAATGCGTCTCTTTTATCCTTCACCTTTAAACTTTTCCAGCCTTCTTCCTGGTCCTTCTTAATTCTTCTTTTCTTAGTTTTTGGGGTTTTTTTCTGCTTCTTCTCCTCCCTCTGTGTGAACCAGCATTTGTCCAGAATAAATGGGGGCTATTTGAGCTTCTGGCAGCTCCATCCGCTGTGTGTGTGTGGATGGATGTGGGATGCCAGAGGGTAAAACTGCAGCTGTTTTGACAGCTTGGGATGTCCGTATTTTGGCATGGCGTCACTATGGGGTTTTCTGTGTCTAGCCTTTGGTTCTGCAGTCATTTACCGTACCTGTAACCTTCAAACTCTCTCATATTTACTCATCTCTAAAGCACCATAAATGATAAGGTTCTTTTTCTTTTTCTCTTTTTTAGCCCACCAAAGGCCCCAGTGATTGTGTCTGGAGTAGTCACAAAGGTAAGCTATATTATTTACGTATACAGAGAAAGACAGATTGTCGTTTCTTTTATTAAATGCTTCCCTTTAGTAGTTAAGCCAAAATGGCTGTTGGATATTAATTTAAATCTAAAGTAGGAGTTGTGCGACCTGTTATGTTATGAACATGTAAAGTGTGGGGAACAGTAATTACAATGAAAATAATTTGGTTATAATTGGATGATTTCCTCTGTGTGTTGATGTTAAGGAGGCAGTGATTGTCATCCTGTGCAGATTTATTAGCAGTGAACAAAAAAAAGTTAAGCTGCAAGGTTTCAGTTTGTTTACTGGCTGAAAATAAGGGAATTTCTGATTCTTTGTCTGAAAAGGGTTCGGCAAACCTAGATGGTCTTAAATCTGCTGTGAATAGAAATAATTAGCTCAGCAGATTTAAAGAGCAGCTTAGAACAGAACTCAGTATTTTTTACACTATGTTTATGTCAGGTTTAAAAGTGAATTGATAGATTTTAGGATTATGAGAGTTCTGTTAATTTTGAAGACAGTTGTTGGTCGGCGTAGACTGGTTACCACAATAATTGCTAAGATGTTCCTTTATTTCCTTATTTCGCAGCTTTAAGTCCTTTTTAATGTGATGCTGTGAGTCACCAGCTGTTAGGAGTCGGTGAAGCTCCAGTGCTGCCCCTCCCACACTTGTTGCTTTGCCTATTTGGTCATCTAGATAAATGAAGCTCAAAATACTTTCAATACTTACAAGACAGGTTTGGCTTTTCAAGAATAATTAAATTAGCAAAAAAAGAAAAAAAAGATTATATTAGCTGGTTTTACTTGTTGCTCATGCACACTGCTATTCTATTGAACTCTATTCTATTCCTCTTAGGTCTATTTATTAAATCTTTGTTATATATTAGGGCTGAAACAGGTTATTGGATTAATCGATTATTGAAATAATCGTCAACTAATTTAGTAACTAATTAATATAATAATATATAAACATTTTGTATTGAAGATGAAAAAAATATATATATATGTGTACCGTGTATATATATATATATATATATATATATATATATATATATATATATATATATATATATATATATATATATATAATATATATATATATATATATATGTGTGTGTGTGTGTGTGTGTGTGTGTGCGTGTGTGTGTGTGTTAAGAGACATGATAGATCTTTAGCAGCATTCTACAATCTTCTTTTTTAACCAAGGTTATCAAATCCTACGAGTCTCATAATCTTATTGTTGCCGTCATGCCGGTTGCTAAGGCTTCTTTATTATTGATGTTTTTTCTCTGAAAGAAGCAATATGATCAAAGGAAAAAATGAAACACACTCTGACCGATGGTAAACTTAAATATGGGCTCATTTAACTCAGTGGTTTTATTCTGGGGAAAAAACCGCTACAGGTAAGTAGACAGCCTCGAGGTTTTGAGGATCAGTAGCAAGAAAAAGTAAGAACTTTATGAGAAAGGTAGATATCAGTGCTGTATGGGGAACAGAATGTGATCAAATAAAGATGTTCTTTTAAGAGTCAAGGTTTGTATGTTTATTTCTTTTTGTGTGGGACTGTCCTTGACTGGCAGTATGGCTCCATTCCCTGCCTTCCATTTGCCTCTGTCAGACCAGGCAGGATGTTTGCAGAAGATTGCTGCGATATCAGAATGATGCAGGCATCCCATTTATCCCTCAATCCTCCTAGAGCCTCGCCATTCGCCTCTATCGCTGCCATCAAACCTGCTGGCTAGCCGTGCACAAAGCTCCAAGAAAGCCTTTTAGGAGCTAAGTGTAACACTTCAGTCTATGCGCGTTGGGGAATGTCAACTCCTATGTTTGTGTAGCAAAATACTCCAGAATATACAATACTTTTCGCCCACTTTAGTCAAAGTTTCTTATTTATAAACCTAAACAGATTCAAGTCGAATACTTTGCATTCACTCCATTGATTTGTGCATTTAATTTGTTTCTTTCCCGCCTACTTCTCCGCATCAGTCAGGAAAGGAGAGTTGAAAAGAAAGCCTTGAGAATGTGACGAAAGACGAAGGTCAGTTGGAGGTCAACTCAATCTCCATCCTTTGCTTACCCATAAATAAAGACGAAGAGCACACACACATATACACAGGAAATATAAAACGCATTCACACACACTATCTCCCTTTAATTCTTACTTAAATGTATCCAGCTGAAACCACTACAAGTTGTAATAAAACAAAGATTAAAAAATAAATATGTAAGAAAACTATGAAGGAAAAGATTGTATTCCCTCATTTGATTAGAAAAATCACATTTTCTTTTGTTAGAAATAATAAAGAGGAGAAGTTGTAGTTACTGAGCAGATTGGTTGTTATTATTATGCCCTTGGTTCACTTTGGGAGGCTCCCAGTGTTCTGTGTGTTTTAGGGAGATCGAAAAGTAGGTCAAACAGTCCACCTACTGTCCGCCGGCAGATAAACCTCTAAATAAGTGCTTATGTTGACACACAGAGGATGTTTAACAAAGCACTCTCTCAAGAGCGCTCAGAATTCCTGTAGGGGATGTTTTGTCTATAATAGTACAGTTCATTTACACGCTCAGTCCTACACAGCACTGTTTTTTGTTTAATGTCAGTTATAGCCAGTAGGTGTTCTCCACTGCCAAGCTTAGAAATAAAGCACAAATGAGTGTCTCATGGAGTCACTCTGAGTCCTATAAAACCATTAATGGAACATTTGGAGGAGTCTAAACGGGTGAACCCGGCCCTCGTGTGAGCTTTTTGTCTTGGTTTCCTGCTGAGAACTTAACCAATAACTTAACCTATCTACAGGCGGGGGGGAGAGAAGTAAGGTCGAGGGGGTTGGGAGCAAATATGATCCTTTTCTGTGCTTGAATTAAGACATGAACTGCTTCTAACTAAACATTAAGATAAGGAACTAGATCTGGTATTTATTCACAGCTACTAACCTCTATAGGGGGGTAATGGATTAAAAATCAGTGGGGTCCGAATAAAGAAAATTAACAACCAGCAAGGGACCTGATTTAACACTGAAATAAAATGCAGGTGTTTATTTGTTTAAAATAAAAAATATTTTAAAAATAGAAAGTTTTTTCCATTTTAAAATATTAATTGTTTTTGAAGTGGAGAACAACAGTCTTTTATTTTGGTATATAGACAATTTCCCGACTCCCTTTATTTCAATAAAACACTGACTGACTGTTTTTCTTTCTTTTTTTATGGCTTAATAATAGCAGTGGGCTTTAGGCTGACCTGTAAGGCTTTAAACCTGAGTTTGAATGGAGACAAAGCCATTCTAAAGCACATATCAAGGTGCTCATTTTGAGTTTGGATCCATATTTATTTTTGATTATGTTCATGGTGGAGAATCCTACTTTACAGGAATAGATTGAGCCAAACATACTCAAAATGTGCTGGGTCATCTTTGAGCACACCATTTCACTTTTCGTTCACTAGATCACCGCGGTTCTTCCAGCAGTCCACACTTTCTCTGCTCTCTTTTTCTCATTGTCCTCTGCTTCTTTCCCATCACCCGGCTCGCCACAGGTTTGCCTGCTGTGCCTGCAAGTAGCTAGCAGCAGCAACCCTGACTTGAAACAGCTCATTAGCTAATATGGATCACGTGCAGCTTAGTGCCGGATGCTCCGGATGGCTTCCCCATACAAACAGGAGAAGAAGCGCAAGTGACGTTTAGACAATGTCGTTGGACAACATGCAGTGATTTATAAATGTTTTAAATCAGGTTGGGTCACGATTAGCAAGCAGGCGGGTCGAGATCCGGAACCTGGTCCGCTAATCGGTGACCTCTGCTCTATAGTAAAGGTATGCTGGAGGATTTTCATAAAAATAAAAAAAAATGCACATGCAGAACCCTGTACGCATCCCCAGAAGGACGCCTATTAAGCGCATGTAAGAGCATGCAGGAGCCTATTTCTCTTTGTGCACGCTCTGTTGAAAAGTTGCTGTTTGCACCACTCATACAAGCTTAATTTTCGAAAGATTTGCAATTTTTTCACTATATCAGACTTTCTATGTCTAAGTGAAAATAGGGTTGAGCACGTAGGACATCCTTATGTAAACATATCACCAGAATGACTGACCATTAGGAAGACCATTTATTTTGATGATCCACCCAGAAAAAGAGCATCCTCCACTCTACCTTTAAGGTTATGGATATGTTGGGCGGTTAAGAATCCACTTCAGCCTCGAGCATGTAATTGACCGACTCTTCTTTCTTTCCAGGGCGATAAGGACTTCACGCCTGCCGCTGCTCAGGTGGCCCACCAGAAGCCCCAGCCTGGTGTCCCCAAGCTGCCCCCCGCGCAGCACATCAACCAGCACATCCACCAGCCCCGCAAGTGAGCATTCAAGCAGGCCCCAGCCGCCACGCTTTACTCCACCAGCCAGCCTTCCCAATGGAACACGTAGGATAAAGATGGTTCCCATCCAGGGCACAGACCTCTGCTCAATGATACCAGTAATTTTTGTTTGCCTCTTGCTTTTACATGTTTGAGAAAAGTTTCAGCAGTTGATGCTACATGTCAGTGCAGATATTTGTCAACGCCCAGCTGCTTGTACCCTGCTGCATCGGTGCTGCACTACTGTTTCTGCACTTTCATGACCTCCCCTCCACAGGGATTGTTCAATAGCTCATCAGTCTTAACTTGAAATAAACACTTTTCTAGCAGCAGGGAAACGAAACACAAATCTAACTCTTCTTTGAGCTTAAACAGCCAATCAACTCCTCTTCTGTCCTATAATAAATCCCATAGACCAAACAAATGATTTCAGCGCAGCATGTTATCAGTTTTAACAGCAAACAGATAAGTTATAATGCACGTTTACCAGCATATCAAATGTAAACGTGACCCAGTGAAGGTATGATTACTGTATAATAGAAAGTATTAAGGAATCAGAGCATGTGTAAACAATATAGAAGCATTCGATTTATTTTTGTGTGCTGTCCTAATGCAACAACTAATGCTAAGATGCAAATGCTAAGATCACTAAATCTAACCAAAAAAGAGAAAAAAAAAATCTATATTTCTTTATAAATGCAAACAAAAATAAAATGCATGATCTCGCTGATTTCTTTGCATATGTACGTTTTGGACCACAACAAAGCACATTGTGTTTATTCTCATTTAACAATCTCGTCCTCTTCCTCTCTACTTCAGAAGTGGGTTTTAAAGCCCCGTTCCTGACTGCGTTAACCAATGTCCATTTTATCTTTGGCACGCTGGAAATAACACCAAATAAAAAGTCACTAAATGGAAAGGAAAACTACTTCTGGGAAACAACTGGATGATGCTTTTAGTTTTGTCTAAACATTGAAGGAAGGAGGAGTTAATCGAATAGAGATATTGGGAGGTGAAGGATATTATGTGTCTCATTAGAAGAATCACACAACATTCCATTCATCAGTTTTCCACCTGTTTGATCTGGAATAAAGGGATTTTTTTTTTGCATTTTAGCAACAGAAACCCCAGAATTCTGATATTCATCTCTCATTAAAAAAAATAGACATAATCACCACCATTTTCCTTAATTACACATCTCGGTATAATCGAGTGTCAGCTGATGCAACACTAATGTTCATGATTCCAGGAGACTAAATGTATCTTACCACAAAGAAATCATTATCTGTGTTCATGTAATTAAGTTGAAAAGGTTTCATATTTCTTCTGTGCTTTTTTTTTTTTTTTTAATTCTCAAAGTGAATCACTCTAAATGTTAAAATCTTCATTCTTTGAAGTGCACTTGGGTATTAGGTGTGGTTGTCGTAGTAAATAAAAGATTTGGAATATCTTGAACGAGATCTTCTGTTTTTATTTCTATTTAATAGGGTGAAAACTTGACTTAATTGAGACTTGGTTTGGAACATTTAACACATTTCCAGATGTTGGATTAGGTTGGAACATTCTGTCCCGAGAAAAACGCTACCTGGTGCTACTTGATGTACTATTTCAGGTTTCTCACCTGGATCATCAGGGCGTCCTGTGGTGAATTGGCACCCTGCACTGGGGGATTAGGGCTCAGGTGGCACTGTGAAATGAAACAGAATCATCTCTCCTGGAGCTGTTTTCCCCTTCACTCTCTCTCTCTCTCACACACACACACACACACACCCACACACACACACACACACACACACACACACACAGTGTGTACCAGGTGTTGGTGCATGTAATCCATCTTTACACAAGCATCTGCAACCAGGTGTTCTGTCAGCTTATGTTAGGCCAGTAAAGCAGCCAGTGCAGGCTTAGCTAGGGCGGGCCTCAGTCTGCACAACGAAACTCCTCAATAAAGTACAAACAATCTCCTCGACTGTCTCATCCTCTGCCAGGCCTTATTAGCCAAACTGGAAAAGAAGAGTCTAATGAAGACAGGGATGCTCCACGCTTCAGAAAATTACTAATTCCTTATGCATGTGCACAAAAAATAGCCAGTTAATTGTAGTTAAACATCCATTCCAGAATATGGATCTTAGGAAACCATTTAACATGACCTATACATCATCATTTGAACTCATTTGTGTTAATAAATGCATTTTTTTCCCATATCAAATTGTTTAACTTGTTAACAGAGCGAATGGGTCATGTCAGGCGGACACTTTTTTTTCCTTTTTTTTTTTTTTGTTCCCTCCAATGCTATAAAAGCTATAAAAAAAAGCTACGAAGTTAAAATGTAATTCAAATTAGCCTCAGCACCAAGTCATTTTCATTTAGAGGCACTTTATTACATTAGTGCAGAGTCTACACCACCAGCTGTCTGCCATGTGTTCCTCAGGAACATTAAAACTGGCTTCAGCTAGTCCAAGCTGCTCCTTTCCGGACTGGAAACTGTCCACCGGTGCTTTAGTTTACTCAGTCCGCTGGCAGAGGTGGAAGCAAAGATATTCAGAGGGGTCAGGATAATTTTTACTGCTTACTTTGATAGGGCATCTAGGATAAAATGTCAAAGTTATCATGACATTTTGGCTCCATTTCTGCAGGAACTCTCTGAAACAATATTATCCCCAGCCTGAGGCCAGTGACACAGCACCTGGAGCAGTGCAGCCCTTCAGAAGGTGCAAAGCTGGATCTTTATCCCCTAAAAATCTAAGGGAAACATTTTGAGTGATACAGCAGCTCACATCTGTACTTCACTTTTATTTTAGTACGATCTGTATTCCTTACAATGCACATATTTTAGGTCCACTTTTTTAATGCTGATTGCTCTGTAAGACAATCAGTTATTCATACTAAAATGTAGAAATGAGAAAAGATATTTCATATTTGATTGCAGTAATTATTCAACCTCAAGTCCGTACCTCAGCAGTGTGATTAAATTAATATGGCTTTTCTAAAAGAGAAAAAAATGAATTTGAGTACGACATAAACAGCATAAGTAATGAATCTTATCGAACACTCAGCATTTAATTTATATTTTCCCGTCGCTTTGGTTTTAATTAAAGCCAATGGGTTTTTTGCTACGTTCATTGCTTTCTGTAATCAAACATTTTTATGAAAATGCTTTCATTGTCACTGATAATTGTTTATTAAGGAATATATATCTAAATGAACAGTAATTGTTTTATAATCACAGAAAAGCTTGGTTCAAAAGTGTTATTTAAAAGGGAGCCTGTCTAAAATAACACACACAAAACAGATTGTGCTAAATAATTTGAATGACATTTCCTTTTTTCCCATTCCGCATGTCTGCATCCTCAAACATCATTTGGGATTTTCTGTCAGATAGCAACATAAAGGATGTATACCAGGGAACTTTTCATTTTAAAACATGGCTTGCACTCTGTGGTATAAGCTCCCATAAAACATGGTGTAGAGCTAAGATTGGCTACAGTTACAGCTTCAGGTTATTTGCAGTATGTCTCTGCTTTGCATTCTTAACTGGATTTATGTCTGGACTTTGACTTGACTATGCCAAATCAAAAATACGCTGTGATCCTTAAATTGTAGCTGATATGTTTTAAGTGTTACCTTGTGACTGTACGCTCACTTTTTTTCCTGCTTGAAAGCAAATTTCCAGCAAAGTCTGAAGCCTTTAGCTAAACTCTTCCTTCTGGAAGAGCTTTTCTATTTAGATCCATCCAGTTTTCATTTCTGGTAAAAAAAAAAAAAAAAAAAAAAAAAAAAGGGATTCCCATTGTGTATTGATTGGACTTTTATACTGCAAAAAAAAAAAAAGAAAGAAATCAAACTCATTTTTTCTTAAAATAAGGGAATTTTTTTAAATAATGCAGATGCTTTGCCAATCCAATAAGACTATTTACATTTAAAGTAAGAACAAATAATCACATTCTCATATTTCAAGTGCACTATATCTAATTATCTTATTTTAAGGTTAAACATACAAATTTATTTGGTAAATTATATTATTTAGCCGCTCAGATTAAGGGCAAGCACATTATTTTCTGACCTAAAAAATTGCCCCTTTTCCACATGCATGATGTGTCTCCTCCGAGGCTAATGGCAAACTGGAAATATTTCTCCACATCTTTAAACTTGATTAATGTTCCTAGTTTTTTATGAAGCTTTTTGCTCACCAAGCTTTGCGAATGAATCGTAAACAGGTGGACTTGATTAAAAATGTGGGTGCATTCTGAAGGGAGATGTGATTACAATGGGTTTTCCTCCAAAGTAGTTTAGTAAAGGTGACTTCACAGTCATTTCTTTGTTTATCCCATATAAATTCACACAATGATGGGACTGCACATGGAAAAATTGTTAAAAAAAATTAAATAAATACATTTTTAAATCGCTTGTGATTTTCATATTAGTAAAAATAAAGAAACATAAAAAAGGATTTTGCACTGTATGAAAACAAACCAGCAGAGGGCGCTAGCAAAGGATTTCCAACTGATTTTTAAAGCCTGGACAAGAGCCCCCACTTTGTGTCCAACTACAGTAAAATCAGGTCGCCCTGCTTAAACCGAAGCCTGTATCATCACACTGTGACATAACAGCTGCCACACATCCAGAGGAAGGTTATTTTGCCACGTTTCAACTTCACTGAGAGATTTGGGTTGAAGAGGGAGGGTGGGAATAAGAGCATAAGGGATAAGGGCTGGAGATGGATCGCTGACCAAGCCAGTGACGCCTTATAATCCCAGGCTGCAATCTAAGCCAACAGCTGTTTGAGACACGATGACCTAAATATTATCCAATGCATTCAGCGACTAATAGGTTTTGCCTCACTCACCAACGTGTGAACCAAAGTCAAGTTTTTTTTTTTCTGCATTCTGCTTAAGAGAAAGTCACAGAATAAACCTGAAAAAATAACAATGAGCATTTAACAGTTCATTACTTTAATATGCCTTTAATGTGGTCAGTTGAAGTTGAACTCTTCAAATCCATTTGTTATTCCTGGCCATGATATCATGAAGTGTACATTTGAGTAAAGATGTTATTTCATGAATTCTTTTAATGCTCTGAAATGTGCCACCTGCTCATCTTTTATCATGTTCAGCCGATTTCCTTTGGGCAGTGGCTAAGCACACTGCCACTCTGAATTCAATGAAGTTTGTTTGATGAAACCATTTGGCTGTGCAGAGCCCTTGTAACCCCTTAGCAACTCATCACCATGTATATTAGACACACGCTCTTGGAAGGCACTTAAGCCTCAATCGCTGTGAGGAGTAAGGACCGTGAAATTGTGCTCTCAAAATTCCAGCTGATGTTATATTGCGGCTCTCCTCGTGGCTCTGTGTGTTTAAATCAAGCTTATTTTCACCCCATTATTCTGTTTTAACGTTCAAACGGGAAAGTGACCTCTTGCTATTTTGAATTAAAAACTCCATATGTCAGAAGAATCCGAATCAGGATGACACTAACTGACTTAGCAGCTCAGGTTAAAAATCATACATAGTGGCTCTAATAGATCCATACACCCTCACATGTAATTGGTTAGATGCCCTTTAGCACATTGCAGAGAAAAAGTATTAATTGGAGTATTAATTAAGGTCTTGGCATCATTCTGGTTGGGTATTTGACAACTCTTCTCATAGAAGAATGGTTTAACTGTTAGTCCAGCAGGCAAAAGTAGAGTTTTACAGCTTTACGTCATGGACTATTTGTGCAAATTAACACGAATAATATTTAAATGAATCAGGGTGAAGCTTTAAACCTAGAAACATTGAACAAACAACAAGCATAGTGGTGGTATCATCATGCTGAGGGTTAGTTTTGACTGTAGCGCTGCTGTATTGCATAAAGCGTTTGGTATAATGATAGTCGTCGAACAGGAAAATTATCAAAAACAATTAACAGGGTGTAAAAAAGTTAAACCGGGTTAAAATTAGCTTTTGAGAACCTTTACCCTCAACCGAATTGAAAAATTATGCACTATGCTTGAAGGTCATGTCTGAGCCAAGAAACTAATTAATATAGATAAGCTCTTATTTCAGATGAGGAGCATTGGTCCAATATTCAGCCGGAACTTTGAATAAGTGCGTAGTTTCTCTAAAAGCTAGTAAAGGCCA